AGATAGCTTGCAAAGGGCAATTAGAAACTTGGGCCCAAGCCATTTCAATCATGGTGGAAAAGATACTATACAATATTTCCGAGCCTTATTGCTAACAGCACAATTTGAAAGGGTATGAATTTTACAATTAGGCTTTGAATCAAATGCTAGAATTAACCTTTAAATATAATTCTCAAATTCGTGATCATTTTGAAGGCAGTGCATTATTTGTACCAGACTGATTTCACAGAGGATGCTGTACATTTTGCTATTGCACTTGCATACTACGGATTGCTCAGAATACCAGACAAAGGCGAGGCTATGGCGTTGCGTATGTTTATGTTAAATATTTGTGTTTGCAATTTTCACTGCACCGGTTTCACCTAAAAATACTTTTATTTAAGTTGTTGAGGTTGGAGACCAGATGATTCCATATTTGAATTTTAACACCCTCATATGCCAATATGCGCGGTCATTAGCAAAGGGAAATGCACCGAACAGTGCCTTTCAATATCTTCTTTTACTATATCTTCACGGTAATCCAAAAACAGAGGCCGGCAGATATCAAATTGAATTATGCCATGAATATATCCGACAACTCATATATGACACTGAAGCATTTAATGAGTTGGTTAGTGACATCCTTATAGTAGAATTCTATTTAATTTTTTTAAGATTTCGGGTGTAAACTGAATTAATAACATGTGTAATAGGGCAAGATGAGAGAATGCATGTCATTAATGTTTATAGATAACGAGGATGAATTCACTGAAACGATTATTAACACGCTTGCGCGGCAGTGCGTTGAAGATGGCAAATTCAAAGCTGCGCGTAGTCTTTATGAATTGACGCAGGTAGTTTTTCTGGGTATGGGTGTCACCAAGTGAAAACCAAGTCTAAGTATAGAATAATATTTATTTATATTTAGACTTTCCGATTTTCACTTGGCAGAACTCATAACACATTTTAACAAGTTATGACGCTTTATGATTGACAAAATTTCCATTAGAATTTTGAAGAAATTATTGTGCTGCTTAACAAGATGCTTGCGGAATATATATGGATTTCTATTCGCGGTGTTGTAATGCAACCAGAAACTGCGAAAGAATTGGATCCACAAGAAATTAGCCGTATCCTGAAGGAATATGAACATATAGGTGTTAGAAAAATATCGCAGAATCGTTTGAAGGATTCTCGCACATTATTAAGTTTGGTCGATTTTGTTGAGTTATACAAGCAGCAGGACTTCGTAAGAGCGGTTGCTGTGAGTGTTATTATATTTAATCAATTCACCTTTAAAACATGCATTCATATTCAACTCATTTTTCATTCCACAAATAGATTATTCAACAAATTGATCTTTTTCCCTTCGAAGATGATATTAGGATTATTCAACAGAAGGCTAGTGCCATTGAAGCTTTCGATGATCAGTTAAAAAATTGTATTCCAGAACTTTTACATATTGCCATGAGATGTATATATGCATACTATCAACAATTAAAGGATAATATGGCAAAAGGAACGCCTGGCATTTTGAGAAAATACATGGATGTAAGTCATGTTTATTTATTAAACATTGATTTGATAATCTTTAATTATTCTATCTACTTTTATTAGGAATCTGCTACCCTTCAACGAAAAGCTCGAGCTCTTGTAACATTTGCTGGATATTTAAAACATAGGTAATTTTATGTCTATGATTTATACATTTTTAATTCTTTAACTGACTTGTTTTTCTGTTTTCGTCCACATCCGATTTTATAATTCACTTATGAATGTAGTGTCCTGTCCTCTGATATTTATCATAAGCTGCACGAATTGGATGTTCAAATGCGATAATGACAATAAATAGATTTTTATCTTATAATTAAAACTAATGTGTGCGCCAATTTCGGCATCAACTATTATGTTTATACTAAGCTTATGTACTGTAACATAGTACGCAACAATGCCTGATTAATTAAAATTGATATATACGGTGGGGTTGGGTACTTAATTGTTTGCTAATTTAAGGACATACCCTGTAGGCATGCCCCAAAATACGATTTTTTTTTTTTATGTAAACTTTTTGAAAAAGGCATGTACCCTGAGATACCGTGCCCAACCCTGATTTCCTTATTTTCGCGAGTAATATAAACCCAAAAAAGAAAATCGAGTATGAATATAAAGTAAATAAAGATAAAAATTTTGAGTTAGGGCATTGGTTTAGGATATATGAAAAAAGTGTCACTATATGTTTCCGACATTTTTTATTGGTGTATGAAGGTCGGTTTAAACATTAGTTTTGAGTATATTCTCTTTCTTTTTTCTTTTTTACGTGTTCGGTCCTACATCGAGTTGGTGGCAATAGTGAATAAAAAATCATCAACCGGTTAACCGAACCGGGATCGGCCGGCTACAACCGGCTCAACCGAATTTATTTCGGTTAGTTCGATTACTGCTATTTTCATAATTTCTGGAACACCTGATAAAAATTGACCAGCCGATTGTAATTTCGGAATAATAGATTCAATAAAAATACAAAATTGTACGTATGCACGTACGTACGTAACTTTTACATTAGCAATTAAATAGTGCGAAAGTTTTACCAGCACTACAAGACTTTATATGTCAGCTTTACGAAATTTTTGGCCAACGCTATTTACATACAAATATTATGCCAGAAACTTATATGCAAATTTCTACCCCGTATATAAAAAGCCATGATACTAGTTCTGCAGATAATTTTAAATGCCGACACGTTTAGTATTATTACAGCTGTTTTCATAAATTCTGGGACATCTGACAAAAAATTGACCGACCGAATATTTGCCGATTCGATAAGTTTGTGATTTCGGCGATGGTCACTGCCGAATCAAAACTTATCGAATCGGCAAATATTCGGTCGGTCAATTTTTTGCCAGATGTCCCAGAATTTATGAAAACAATTTCATTTGAACACTTGCCCAACCAGTGTTGGACAATGACAATGTCATAAGTCATTTAACTAATGACTTATGTCATTTTGTTATATGATATACAGTATAATCATATACAGTATCATTTGTCATATTTTCATATGACACTATCATATGACTTATATGACTAATGACATATGTCATTTGTTATTTGTCATTTAATTTACACAAAAATTTATTGTAAGACAGTAAGTGTTTGACAATTTTTCGAATTGATTAACCCAAAGTTTTCATTTATTTACCAGAAAAGATGTTATATTTCTGCATTCAACCAGAAATATATGTATATACATTAGTGATGCTTGATGAAATGATAAAACCTAACAAAACTATAAGTTTCGTCAATGACAAAACTTGACGAAACTTATGGTTTTGTCAAGTTTCATCATTTCATCAGGCATCACTAATATATATACTAAAGTTTTATGATATTTATATTAATCATCGATCTAAATTATATACATCAATTTGAATCTATTATAGATCATATAATATTATGCAAGTTATAAAAGTCCAATTATATTATATTTTAACTTAGAAGACAATTATCTGAAAATAAGATCTGACTAAAATCTATAAATAAGTCATGTTTTTTTTTTTTTTTATATTCAGCAGTCCTGCCTCATTGCTTTTATTAGAAGTACTAGGAAGCTATTACAATAGGAGGTAATAACATTTCTATACTATATTCCTATGCTAATAAAACTCACTCGACCAACAGCTCAGGTGCGACCAACCTAGCAGCAATCAACTTCACGTTGAATCCTCAACTTACTGAGGATTTGTGCTCTCTGATTATGAGCCATAGCAGCTGCATGCTTCATTAAGTAGTCAAATACAAAAATACTAACAAAAAGAGAAAAAAACACAGAGGTATAGGGGATTATGTTAAAATATACAAGCAAGAAAGAAAAAGGGGAAATCAAAAAGAGAGAAAAAACAAAACAAAAAGAAATTTGTCTATCCTAATGTTACTATTATAAGCCTGTGAAAAGCTTTAAAAAATTATATACTACTAAATAAACTAGTCCCTATTCTAAAATTTATCTAAATAGTATATTTAAGTGAAAACCCAGTGGGAAACTTCTTCAACCGAAATTGTATAGGGAGATCAGTACTCGATAGTAGTCTCGGAGTATTGTTTGATCAGATTGTTGTATTCGAAGCACATGCCTTGACGTGTTTGTTGTCCTGTTGTACCGATTTAGAAAGTAAACAATACTGACTATTTTGGTGCACGTGATATCGATCTTTTGGAGGAGGTAAACTGAAACACTCACTTTTTACAAAAAATCCTTGAAAAAAAGTGGTGGGCCAACGAAAATATGTGAGGTTCTTCTTGTAAGAGTTACAGTTGTATAGTCCAGTTCCTCAGTTTCTACTTAGTATTCCTGTCCAGGGACTTACAGTGACGTTGCTCCCAAAATATCCTTTTGGTTTGGATATTGAAAGTGCGAAGAAATCTACTAAAAGCTTGACCTAAAGGCACAACCCACTTATTGTTTATACGCCCGCTCTTTGGTGTTTCACATATACAAAGTTTCGTTGACAGCAAATATGTTTGTATAGTACTAAGAATATTTAGGTGTTTACTTTGTTGCTTTCCTATATCATTTTTCTGTAGTTCGGTTTGTTTTGTTGTTGACCAAGGGATCGTTAAAAAGAGTTGTGATGGTCATATTTTTTTTTTATACTTATGATAACTGATTTAACTCTTTTGTTTTATATTATATATCATACATTCTTTTAAATATACATTAACAAATTTATTTTTTCAAGTTGTAATATATTATACTTTTATTTAAGCCACATTAGTTAATATACTTTTTGCTTTGTTTATATTTTATTTAGAAGTAACTATTATATCGTTATTTAATAATTAAATATAACAGTATTATATATTTAGTCTAAAGTAAAAAATGATTTTTTTCTTTTTTTTTCTTTTTTTAAATAAAACTATCGAATAAACAATATTATTAAACAAAAACCTTTATGATATTTTTGGTTCTATATTTTTATACATTTCTTTTTAGAAAAATACGAGGCAGAAGACCTTTTAAAATAAATACTATATATTGTAATAAAATTTACTAAAAACTAGCAAGCTTTAGCAAATCTTAAAGAAACAAGTGTCGAGTGGACAATCTTT